GCGGTGTCTCCGAGCGTGATGCTGAGGACGCCCTTTGCTGTCCCTCCCTAGCGAGACCCGGGTGCCAGAGCAACGATGGGAGCGGACGATGGGGAAAACACGGTCGGTTGGCAAAGCACCCTCGAGTTTGGCCCGTGCGGACACCAACCTGTGCTCAGGCGGCCGGGGATCGGAGCTGGCTGGGTGCTGTGACGGGGTCGTTAGAGCACCACCCTGCCAAACTCCTGCGCAAAGAGTGACGGGAGCGTGGCCCACGGCCAGGATCGCTGCTGGAGGACCGGGCGGCTGCGGGTGGAGAGGGGATGCCGGGGGCCCGGGGGCTCACCCTGTGTGCCCTATGGTGGGCGTGAGGGATGGAGCTGGAGCCAGGCTGCTCCGCAGAGCTGCCGAGCACACGCTGCTCTGCGGAGCTGTCTTCGAGTTAAGGATTATCCTGCAGAACATAAAATGCTGATAAGCAACAAGTATTTCGTCTCTGGTTGGATTTCTGTATGTGCAGCAGCAGGAGGCTGGAAACGAAAGCACCAGTTACAGATGGGTAACAAATCAGACAAGCAAATGTCAGAAGAAAAAGGAGAAACCCCCTGAAAATCCACATCAGAGCACTTAGAAATGTGAATGATCCCGACACTAACTCCCTCGGCCATTACACTTCCCCCGCAGCCACTGCGAGCAGGGACCCACGCCCCTTCCAAAGCCAAAGTTCTCGTCTCGCTCCCACGAGCCAAACCCCTTGGTTTCTTCTCATCCTTTCACCCCATTTTTCATCCACAACACTGGATGGTAAAACCAGTGAGTAGCAAACTGTCTCTGCTGCCGTCAGCACGGGCAGGGGAGGAAAGCCCCTCCTCTCTGCAGGCTTTCCAAGCGTGAGTGGGACCGAAGATGAATATTCCGTCGCCCGTGACACGCGTGTGTGTCACGGAGCTGCTGGGAAATCAGGTGGAGAAGGAAAATGAACTGGAGGGAGGGAAGAATTCTGCCAAAGCGTGGGGTACAAAGCCAACCCCAGACCGCCCATACCGAATCCCCTTCCCCTCCCAAGGGCGGTCGTTTCAAGGCACAACACTGAGGCCGCTGTCAAGAGCAGGGGCAAAATCCAGGTTACGGTGGGCAAGGAGGAGAACTTGGTTTTTCCTGGATGCAATTCCCCTTGTTCCAGACAAAATACGGCCCCAGATTTCCTTCTTGGCTTTTTTTAGGATTTTTTTTTCTTTTTCCTCTCACCAACCGAGGAGCAGCAAAGCCTCCACCGGGGAGTGACAGGGTTTCGGTTCCGTTGCTGTGTCCCACTCTTGCCCGGCGCTGGGTTGAGCCCTGCGTTTGTTGAGACTGGAGGGGAGCTGTTAATCGGTCAGAGTAAATTCCAGCTCGGCCCATTGTGCTGCCCGTACAGGTCCTTCAGCGGACTTCTAGCTCCCCAGCTTCTTCCGGTTTGGACGCAGCAAAGAGCAAACCAAGCGCTGGGAGGAGGCGTGGGGAACCGTGTCCAGAAACACGCCGTTTGTTGAGCGAGGTCCCGTGACCTATGACGCACCTTCGTCTTGTCCAGTTGAAAGAGCAAGGTCTCAAAAACCGAAATAAACCCAAAGGACCTCAGTATTCTACACCCGAAACCGCGCTTTTTCGCAATGAAGGGAGACAGCTGCTCCGAGCTGAGTTTGCGCTCACAAAGCTTGGGGAACCACCCAAGAGAAACGCCCAACCGAAAACTGTCAGAATCAATAATTTAAGTTTATTCTGGGAGCTCTGTAGAATAAACAGAAGAAAAAACCACTTAGAGAAACATATGTTTGAATTATTTAAAGGTGAAGAAAGTGACAACAACATACTGTGGGAGTGGGATGCTCAGGCGCGCGTTACTGCTGCTGCCTTCAAAAGAAAAGCCAGAGGAAGAGGGGGGGCCCTGGGCTCCAGCCACGCGCGTCGCGTCTAGCCGGACGAGCGCAGAGCGGGTCAGCGCGGAAGGAGCTTCCTCACCGCTCTTTTTTTTATTAGCAGGACTTAGGAAGGGTTGGAGTGAAAGGTTTGAGATGGAAACTTCCCGGTGGACTTTCGCCTAAGAGGCAGCCTTGCGGGAAAGCAGTTCTTTGGATCTCTTCCCTCCTTTTGGCCGGGAGCAGCTCCCTCGCCATAAAACCCACGTGGGTTTCCCAGCAAGACAGTCTGAGTAAGAACTGTGGCTGCCGGCAGCGTCCCAGCTCTTACATCCTGACGCCCGGTGCAGTGCTGGGGTGGGAAGCGGGTGCTCCCCAGACACCCTCGCCCCGTGAGGGTCTTCTGCCGCAGACGCACCGCCACTTGCCGCGGCGTGACCCCCTGCGGGGCCCTCGGTGTGGTTTTAAAGCGGGCAAAGCTCAGTAGGAAGACGGAGGCGGCTCAGTTTGGCCCTACTCGAGCTAATGCCTCACTTCAAGTCCTCAACTGAGGAATAAATCCGGGTTACAAGCGGAATCAGCAGCACCGATTTCCACTCAAAACACGCGCCGAGTGCTTTATGTCTCGTGGCTTATTGTCACCTGATGTTAGAGCAGGGACTGCTCTCGGCTCCCCACCCTCGGCCCCAC